TGTGTGTAGGACCCTAAACGATTACCATTAAATTTAGCACAGATCTCTAGAAAAGTAAGTCCACATCCATGTGATACCTTTTCTAGATATCTGTATCAAATTTAATGGTGATCATTTGGGATCCTACATAAGTGTGGAAGGCTCTTATATGATCATTACTCCCGTTATATTTACTGTTACTAGAAAAATACTTTTTAGTTTATGTTATTACAGATATATCCGCTTTTTGAACTTCATAACATTTTTTTAAAACCTATTTTTTGGTTTTTCAAAAACTTAAATTTCTAAATATTAGGTTTTTTGAAAAAACCAAAATTTAAGAAATTTTAGTTTTGAAAATCCCTACTTATATTTTGTATTTTTAAAAATAGTAAAAAATCTCTTCTATCCTCTCTCTAGCAAAATAAAGCAAATGATTTTCTTGCCTCAAGTGCTCTCCGTAACTCTATTTGTTAAATAAAGTAGTCAGTCATATTTGTTCACGGGCTTATTCTCGTTAAAAATGGACGTTTTCTAGAACAATCCACATACAGAGCGTATATGGCGGCTCCCAATTGTTGAGAGAGAGGGTTTATTTCTGTGTTCGTCTCTGCAACTTATAGGTTGTGGTTTCTCTTGGCATTAGGGTTTGCTATTTCGAGGCTTACAAGGATTTACCACTCCAAAACCCTAGTTTCTCAAGGATGTTATTCTCTCTTTCTCTCAAATGATAGATTTCATATGAAGCATAAAAAAACTTGACTGCAAAACCGTGGCTTTTAAATGCTTTCATATGGCCACTCTCATCCTATATTGACTGCGCGTTTGTTCAAGAAAGCGTTTGCTTTATTTCATCTGAGAGAATAGATAGACAGGAGAAGAGATTTTTTAGGATTTTCAAAAAATATACAAATATAAATTCGGATTTTAATAAAGGAAAATTTCATACACAACCTTAATTCTCCATCTTATTTCTTTGTAGACATTCTTTCCACTTTTTTTTCGAGCATAATAAAAAAATCTGTAAGGATTTTACCGCATCCCCTCATCTTTTATCTCCATCATTTATTCACTTTTTTACCATAAAAATAGCCCGAACAAACTTTTTTATATCATTTCAACCAAAAAATTATATCTTTTAACCCAAAAACGTTTCTAAAATATCTTATTATTATATATTTTGCCTTTTTAGCCTCTCAATGCCACGTCGAGGGCTCCCTATCTCTCATATTGGGTTAAAAAATAGCATAAAAAAGTTTATTGGGGCTAATTTTTATGATCAAAAGCGAATAAATGAGGGAGATAAGAGATGAAAGCGTGCGGTGAAATCCTTTTGGGATTTTTTTATGCCGCTAGAAAGAAAAATGGAATGAGGGTCTACCATGAAATAATATGGGGAATTAGAGTTCTGTATGAAATTTTTAAAATTTTGTTTTTAAAAAACTTAAAAAAATGTTATGTAGTTAAAAAAACAGATATATGTGATAAACGAAAACTAAAAAATATTATTGTAATAACCATAAATATAAAGAAAATTGTTTCATGTGGGCTGGACCGCACGACTACATATGTGGTCCAAAAAGTATAAATCATCCATCTTAAAAATGGGTGCAAGTAGGTGTTCCATCTAAAACAATGGAAACTACTGGTCCAAATATTTTCTTACTAGAATTATTA